GGGAGGCTAGACCGGAGGAGATGCATATGACCGAGAATGGGAAGTCCTCGTGGACCTGGAGGAAGACCATCGCGGCGGCTAGAGGAGCTGAAGAGTCTACGAAGAAGGAAGATGGTAATGAATGTGAAGAAGAGGAGATAGGAACAAGTTGTGTAATTCGTATCCATATTCATTGTAACCGATTACTGATTAAGGATTAAACATGTGTAAGATGTTATATAAAATGCTTATGTTGTTTGGAAAAATTCTACAAAACTTGTCTTCTTGCCATGAAGGATCTAAGAATATATATTCTGTGATGACTTAACATTGTTGATTACAAATTTTTTATTTTTCACTTTGTCAGTGTTTAGTATTAGACTCTGTTAGATTTTATTGATAAACTGTAGTGTAATAAATAAAACACTACATTTTATTGTAACGTATTTAAATAAATAGCATTGCAATCGAAAAAAAAAAAATCAGAAAGGAAACCTTTCACCTACAATGGCGGGGAACACGAAAAAATTGGCGCCCAGATAAGCAAGGAATTAGCTCGCCCGCTCTAACTGCAATCAATAGTGCGAGTTATTATTCTTCTTATCTTCACGACATCGAAGGTTGTATCGATCTATTAGGGTTCAGAGATGGGTAGGAAAAAGAAATCTAGGGCTTCGACAAACGAGGAAGATGAGTTTGAGAGTGGTAATGATGGGCGATCTTCTGAGACTAGTCTTTACGAGGTAATTAGGGTTTCAATTCTTTTTTTGTCAGTGATTTAAAACCTGATCTTAGTTCCACAATGCCTGCGTTAAGGTTTGGATTATTCGTGATTCTGATGAAATTACTTGGGAAGTTTCTTACTTTCATGAATCTCATGTCTTAATCCTTGTTTAATGGTGTTTTGTTGTCTGAATTTGAACTACTTGTATATCATATGTTTTTGTTGTTCTTGTATGTGAATGAATCCTCTGGGTTTTGTTAGATGGTCTTAATTGATTAGGAGTTTTGGTATCAGAATGATTTTGATTAGCCAAAAAAGAGGGATTTAAGCATGTCCTTTGAAAATAAAAGTGAAACTAACACATCTCTCACTCTTTACTCAAGGTTCTTGGAGTTGAAAGAACAGCTACTTCACAGGAAATAAGAAAAGCCTACCATAAATTGGCATTGAGGCTTCACCCAGATAAAAATCGAGATGATAAGGTTAAACACTCTTTTCTTGGTCTATCCTTGAGATTTTTTTCTTGGGACCTTTTATTTGGGTTCATTTACATGAAGATTCTGCTCTTGCTATATATAATACAGGAAGCTAAAGAGAAATTCCAGCAGCTACAAAAAGTGATTTCAATTCTTGGGGATGAAGAGAAAAGAGCTGTCTATGATCAAACTGGCTCTGTTGATGATGCTGTGAGTCTCTCTCTTTCTTGTTTTATAGGTTTTAGTGGAATCCCCCAATGCACATAAAGCAAGTAGTCTCTTTTACCAATTCCTCTTTTTGTTCAGTTTGATCTGATCTAGAAGAGAAAGCATTTAACTTCTGTAAATGTATTATGAGTTTTCCTGAAACCTGGGTATCTTCTGTGCTCGTTAGGATATTTCTGGCGACGTATTTGAGAATTTGCGGGATTTCTTCAAGTCCATGTACAAGAAGGTAGCAGCAACTTTCACAAGTGGCACCTTTTACACATCTACTTCTGCTGCTTACACTAGCTTCTTTTTATTTATTTATCTCACTGGTTATATAGGTCACCGAAGCAGATATTGAAGAGTTTGAGGCAAACTACAGGGGATCTGAGTCAGAGAAGAAAGACTTACTTGAACTCTTCAACAAGTTTAAGGGTAAAATGAACAGGTAATTTATCATCCTTTGTTTTCGATATGGTTGAGGTTGTGAGTTGGTAATATATATTTCTTTCCCAGGCTATTCTGCTCAATGCTTTGCTCAGACCCTAAGCTTGATTCACACCGTTTCAAAGACATACTTGATGAGGCCATTGCAGCAGGTAGTTTATCTTTCTGTAACTAGTACATACGTCTTACTAGATTATCTTCTCATATCAGGAATCCTTGACGTTACAGCATGAGCTTTCCTTTTATTTGTACATTGATGAATGTTGATAACACTATAGAAGTGATGTTGTGCCCTCTCCATTGATAGTATGAGTGTAAGATGCACCATAATTTTTGAGCTGTCTGTTTGATATTTCAGTATCCAACTAACTTTGCAAGATAATTCTCTGATTTGGTTCTAGTCTAGTTAAGATTCCAGATTGGGAGGGTTGCTGATTAATACGTGTGTTGTGTAATACAACTGATTTCCTTTTCAGGGGAAGTGAAGTCAAGCAAGGCATATGAGAAATGGGCAAAGAAAATTTCAGAAACGAAACCGCCCACCAGTCCATCGAGGAAGAGGAAGAAGTAAGATCGCTGCCTCTGTTTCAGTTATTTCCACCAATCAAACTTGACCTTGTTGTTGACCACCTCGCTTCAATTTGCATGAACTTGTAGTAGGTCAGCAAAGAGTTCAGAGACAGATCTTTGCTTGTTGATTGCGCAACGAAGAGATGCGAGGAAAGGGAAAGTGGATTCAATGTTTTCATCACTCATCTCTAGGTATGGTGGTAATGCTGAAGCAGAGCCCACTGAAGAAGAATTTGAAGCTGCCCAGAGAAGGATTGAAAGCAGAAGACCATCCAAGAAGTCAAGAGGAAAGTAAAAGGTTATAGAGCAGAGTTGTCTTCCTATTAGTTTGTGATGGAACAAGTAGTATGCTTATTGTTTTAAATTGCATCCATTTCCAAATTTCGCACATAATTTGATCATTACTTTATAAATAGAGTAATTATCTTGTTAAGTTTGATGGTCTCCATAAAAGCCGAAGTAGAGCAATTACTATCAAGAATTATAAGTTTCTTATCGTGAAAAACAAAAGCAGGAGATTGATTAAAAAGATGGACGAGACTGAACCCAAACCGTAAAAATAGAAAAACTCTTTTCTTTGACGAACTATCTTCTTCTCCAAGAAAGCCTTTAGGGTTTATCTTGTGAAGCGATGGGTTGTTGTTCATCAGATTGCTTTGTCTACTTCATCCTCTCCGTAGCTTTAGCTTTCATGGCCGTCTCTACCACTCTACGTTCACCTTCGGATTCTGACACCACAGTACCCATTGCTTCTTCTTCGTCTTCTCTCTCATCAAACGCCTCAAACACTCTACGCCAATCCAATTTCAAAGCAATCGCCACTCTCCTCCACATCTCCCCCGAGATCTTCCTCTCTTCGTCTCCCAACACAACCCTCTTTGCCATCGAAGATGCTTCCTTTTTCAATACGTCATCGCTTCATCCTTTGTTTCTCAAGCAGCTTCTACAGTATCACACAGTCCCTCTTATGTTGCCGATGCATGAGCTTCTCAAGAAGCCTCAAGGAACCTGTCTCCCCACGCTTCTCCGCCACAAGAGTGTCAAAATATCCACCGTAGATCAAGAATCAAGAAGAGCTGAAGTGAATCATGTCCGGATTTCGCATCCCGACATGTTCCTTGGAAATTCATTGGTCATTCACGGCGTTGTTGGACCATTCTCTCCTCTGCAACCTCACAGTGATCATATTATCCAGTCATCTTTATGTCAATCTGATGAAAACAAAACCAGTGTCTACAACGAAGACCACGTTCCGGTTAAGATAGAATGGACTCGGATTGTTCAGCTGCTAAGTTCAAACGGGTTTGTACCATTCGCAATTGGACTGCACTCTGTTCTCAACAGGATCGTTAACGATCATCACCACAAGAACTTGACGGGAGTAACGATACTAGCCACACCGAACCTGGTCTCGCTGTCATCTGCCTCTCCGTTTCTGTATGAGGTCGTGAGACATCACATTCTTGTTCAACGGCTTACGAACAAAGATTTAGCATCAATGCCTGATAAAGCAACAGTGAAGACAATGGATCCGTACCAAGATCTCATAATCAGCAGAAGAGAGGTTGCTAATTCGTCTGGAGGAGATTTCATGATATCTGGAGTTGAGATTGTAGATCCAGATATGTTCTCTTCTTCAAGCTTTGTAATTCATGGGATATCACACACTCTTGATATCCCACATGCCTAGACCATTTTCATCTTTCCTTTTGTAGATACGTACACACATTCTTTTGAGTTTTTGATGCGTTACTAAGGAGATATTCATTTATAATTTTTCACTTTTAAACCAATACTATAATAACTCTATAAAGTAAATTAGAATAAAAGTCTATTTATATACTATTCATCTTCATACTGTACATATATATATATTGGTGTCATGTTTTTGTTTGTCTCGTGCATAACAGAAACCTTTGGAATTCCATAATTAATTTAATTTAGAAATACATAAATTAAGGAAAAGCGTCCAAAAAAATGTGGTAAAACGTCTAGGGAAGAAGATGATGACCTTGTAACCGATTCCAATCCTAATTTTGATTAAACTAACCACCGACCGATCCATAGAGGGAGAGACTTGTTAATCCTCTTTTAAACCCGAGTCTCTCTCATCTTCACACACACACACACTCACAAAACCATAACTGTTGTATTCCCTTCAAAAAAATATTCCTCCCTTTTTACTCTTTCTCTGCTATTTTCTTGATTCAGATTCATAAATCACAACTTTGGATCTCGCACCAGCTTCTTTGTCTCAGGTTTGTTCACATTCATTCAGAAACATTTCCGATTTCATCGATCTCATTTCAATCAGAATCAGTATCAAGACGTGCTCATTGTTGTTAGACGACTCGTTATTTTGTTGCGTGTGTGTGTGTGTGTGTTTAATTAAGTAATAGTAAGAGACAAAGACGTGCTCATATGTTGTTAATGCCCCCATGTGTCGTGGTTAGCGGCAATATAAAACTTTTCTGCAACTTGATTTAATTATTTTTTTTAAAAAAATAGTGTGTGTGTGATCTCAATCTCATGAATGAATGAAATGTTTGTTTTTCTATGAGGAAACATCGGTTGCTGTCACCAGTTAAGACAAGTCTAATAATGTTCATAAAAGGT